GTGTACAAGCTGTTTAGATTGTCAAAAAGTCTGTGTTTTTAGGGTTATTAATGAAGTTCGTGTACTCAGACCAGTAATATTTGGGTTCACAAGTTTTTGCCATGGATATTTTGTGGGTCAGAAGATAAAAAGTTTGGGAACCACTGTTCTAGAAGATTCTCACAATAAATTCATTGACTTCCAAACATGACAATAAAAATTGCTTTAAATTTGATGCATTTCACCCCACAACTCCTGCAGCTCTGTTGATTAAAAAATGAGTTATTTTTTATAGAAGGATGAATGTGATTGTTGACAATTTGACAGTTTTCGGAAGGCATCCTCTAATAGCGTCCTCTTAGAAAGCTGTAATTTAATTTTCCCTTGAATCTTRCATAGCAGAATTGGTGCCCACAGTTTTCATTTCTGTCTCTTCCTGAAGCCACGGAGAGCAATATTTGATAAAACTCCAATTTATTCTTAATTGAAAGTTATTTACGCTGCAACGCTAGTTGCGCAACATGCTAAATGAAAATACTAAAAAAGCTCTACAATAACAGAGGAAAGCAAAGAAATACACCAAAAAAATGAACATTATTTCTTTTTTGAAGGTTAGAATACGTGAGTAAAACTGTGTGGAGAAATAGATAGAAATGGCAGGGTGAGAGATTGAGGGAGAGTAAAATTTTGTACCTTTCAGCGTCAATTATCCAATTGTGCAGCGCCAACATGACAGAAATCAGAGCTTTTAGAGTGATTCAGCCCCCTGCTGCAGTGCCAGCGAGCCCAGAGCGTATAATGCGATACRACATTATAGTCTGGGCTTAATGCAGAGACACGGGGACTCATAAAATATGGAGTGTGATGCGGTGTGTGTGCGTGCACGCACAATGAGGCAATGACACACTCAGAAACAGAAAATAATWAAATAAAAACATTTAAAAAGCAGACGGGAGCAGTGGAACATAATTATTGTTAGAAAGATTTGGAGGAGTCGACTGTGGCAACAGACAAAAGACGCATTAAACAAGACTGTCAGAGGAAATAAAACAAACTATCGGCTTAATTCCTCGACGAGTCTGTCACCTTTTTCCCCSGCACCATCTAAAAAACCCACTAGTTTAAAACAAAAATAAATGTGTCTCACCATGCCCTTTGTGCTGTTTCCCAAGGTCGATTAGCTGCGGCGGCCATCTTGGATCRTGCACTTAATTAGRTAGACGTCAAACTAATGATTTCTTTCTGACAGTCGCGACGAAATCCAAGAAATCACACCCAGACACGAGAAAAAGCAATCGCTCTGCCTTCTCCTTCAGCGGCAGGCAATAAATGCGGCTGTATGTATAATTGATGGCAACACGCTCCATATTTAATATCCTGAAACCTCCACCATGACAGCTTTTAAGTGGCAAAACCTGCCTGGTTTTTTTTTTTAACACCCATGTACATTTGTTGCACTGTGTGTTATCTGCGCGCGCTGATTTATTTATAAGGAATTAATTTCCTCCGCAGTTTGAAATGTGGCTGCACAAGTTTTAATTAGGCCAATACTTCAGCTGRTTCGGGAGCGTAATTAGTTTCTTCATTTTTCTTCACCTTTTTAACACCGGCCCATGTGTTTGCTGACTGTTTACTCCTGACCGCCTACGTCTGGATGGGACTATATTGTGGTTAACACTGCTAAGATAAGATAAAGTGAAATTAGCATTATTGATCCCTGAGGTTAAATAGGAGGACAACAGCAGTAACAAGTGGAGTTTAGATAAAAATCAAACAAATTGAACACAAGATATTTGGCCTTCGACTAATTGACACAGAGCTCTTATCTGCTGTAGGAGCTGTTTTYAAGAAGAGATTTAGAAACTTATTTCCACGTCTTAATTTGAGTTTGACGCTTTGTGTTCCTGGCAGGTTTGGGCGTGGAAGGAGAACGTGTGGGAGAAAGAAAAAGGCACTTTGATGGAGAGGTACACCGTGGAGCAGAGCAAACCTCCATCCCAGGGCGGGGCGGTCCTCTCCACCCTCACCATCAACAACGTCATGGAGTCCGACTTCCACTCGCCGTACAACTGCACTGCCTGGAACTCCTTCGGGCCAGGAACCATGATCATCATCCTGAARGAGAAAGGTTTGTGGAGGATTGGAGGAAATGTAAAGGTGGCTGAACAGYGTACGAGGCAAATGACCAGATGAGCTCAGCTACTAGAGAGAAAAGTCAAACTCATTTTCACCGAGGGCCGCAAGAACGTTATGGTTGTCATTAACTTGTTTTATGTTTAACTTCGACTAAACACGAAATGCACATTCCTCCTGCCAACAAACAAAAGCTGAGCTCTACTTGGTTTTTCTTGCATAGAAACATGGTTTCAACACCTCCTCTTATAAACACTTAAACGTACTACATGTCCGACTGATTGAATGTGAACTAAATAAAATAGAAATACAATTAAAAGTAAAAGTAAGAATTTTACTCACAGAGTTGTGTAAAGTGTCTGGCGTCTTGATTTCTGAACTCTTCCACTTTCCAACAACAAATTCCCACTAGAGAGGCGTTCCAGTTTACATTTACGACTTGTAAGTGCGAAATTTCAACTTTCCACTACAACTGGGCTGCAGAAAAAAAAAGGAAGGAAAGAAGGAAAGAAGGAAAGAGAAAGCAAAAAAATGGCTAATTTCACCAGCTGCTGGCTACTTTTGAACCCTGTGCAGCTCCACCTAGTGGTGGGATGTCATTATTTTGAGGGTAAAATAATCAACATGCATTATGGGAGACGTAATTTATAAACAATGAAGGTTTTAAACCAGGCTATTTTAAAACATTTATACAGTTTTGAACCTCTTGTGGGCCACGAAAAATGGCATGGTGGGCCACATTTGGCCCGAGAGCCTTCAGTTCGACTTGTGTACCAGACTTTCAGTCATAAAACCCCAAAATTTAAAAAGAGACAAAAACTAGGAGAATATGTTTGTGTGTTTTTATTATTAGGTTGGTGTTTGATCTATTTTACAAGTTTTCATTTTGTAATAATGAATGCAATGGTGTTAGTGGTTTCTTTTTATTACTGATTTAAGAATTTGACACTTCATTTTTTATTTATTTTTTTATTTTTTTTTTTTGTTCAGGGTCTTCAGAATTAAATCAAGTCATCTTGGGAAAAACCTGCTCAGTTTTGAGCTGCTAAACTATCAACAAATAATTGAACAATAAAAAGCTTTTAATGTCCTTTTGGATGCTTCCTCTTTTTGTCATCCAAACCAAAGAGCCCTTAAGTTAAATCATTAAACTGTGACTTGAGCTGGATGACTGATCATCTTGTTAGTCTGTTCTGGAGGCTTGTTTTATTATGAGATCTTCGAAGCATCACRTTAAATTGGGCGAAATGGTTCCTTCATGCTGTTTCAGTCTCATCCCACTCTTATTCTCTCAGCTGCAGTRTTCCACAGGCTTTAGAAAATCTACCACAACAATTTCTTGAAAGTGACGCAGAGTTTGGATGTGTTCTCGCACCGAAAAGTGTTTTCATCCCCTTGTCAGACGAGCGTGCCTTATCGGCACCAGCAGCCCTCAGAGATTGGGCTTCAAGCAAGGACACAAAAGGATTTAGTGTTAAACTGTGCAGCAGCGGTAAGTTGGTGTTGCGGCGAGGCAGCAGCTGTCCCTCAACCCCGACCCTTCTTCTGCCTGTGTTTGTTTCAGAAATGTATCCGGTGGGAATTATCGCCGTCAGTACAGTGGCCTCCTCCATTCTGCTGCTCCTGCTCCTGCTGGCGCTCGCCTTCTTCCTCTACCGCCAACGCAAAGGCAGTGAGTGAACACAGTTGTTTCTGTTTGTGTAAGGCCGTGCACACACTTCCTCTGTCTGTCAGCCTCTTTCTTTCATCCGCCATCCTTCTTCTGTCATTCTGCTTTTCCACCATGAAAGTGACATATGCCAGACGCTCAGGATTTTATTCAGATGGGATTAATGAATATTCATACAATGTGGCAAACTGCCTCAAAATCGCCCACTTYATGTTTTCATTTCCCTTCTGCTGACATTGACTTGTTTGATATTTTGTGTGCCACTTGTACACAAGATGAAGTGGCCACATAAATAGGAGATCTCAAAACAAAAGCATTAAAAGGTGAATTTTATGAATTCCATATATGTATTATTTCTACAGCCTGCGGCAATCCAATTAGTATTTATGAACACGGAGCACGCTTCCACAGAACGCAGAGATCTGAAACCGTGTGGTGTCTTTCAGATGTTTAATTTTGAGCTGCTTCCCTGCAAATAAAGGAGCGGGGGGGGGGGGGAATGACGATGAAGGTGACTGGCAGAGTCCCCGGAGGGTTTTTATAGGGATAAGAGTACATTCTCTGCTTCAGAGCTGATAAACGCAGCTACAGAAGAGATATTGTTTCCAAATAGAAACTCAAACAAACATCGTCGTCGCTCCAGATAAACAGCCTCTTGTTTGTCGTCGGCGATGAAGCTCGAGACTTCACAGGCGGAAATCTTTTTTTCTTTTAAGGTTCCGGGGCTGTGGGAGAGAGAGTTGTTCGTGTTGACAAATGTTGACTGCTCAGTGATAAAGATATGACAAGCTGAGGCTTTAGGATGACAAGAGAATTTTAAACACAGGAAGACTTTTACTGCACTGAAACGGCACTTCTGTAGCTCATGGGTTTTATTTTGGCAAAGTTCAAGCTCTCTTATGACAGGAAGTATTATCATCCCCCTCTGAGGGCAAAGACAAGCGRTAAAGCTTTTGCTCGTATCTGTATRGTTAGCAAAATATCATGATCATTGAATGAATTTTGTTGAAATGAACAGATAAACTTTTAGAGCAGAGAAACACTGCAGCATGCAACAGATTGTAGTAGCKTTTTTTTCTTTTGCATTGAAACATGAATTTAAAATTCATAAATGATTTGAAATCTAYRGAGCCCGTCCGGTGACATGGAATAAAAAAACATTCACGTGGTCAAGAGATAACGTGTGYGCACACGATAATTATGTTGTGATGTCATGGCCACCACATAGYTAATTGTTGTCATTTCTGTGTAGACTGTTTTGTTGTTTACATGGACAAGTCTGAATTAAACTAATTTATTTAGATTTTAATAGAACGAATGATGTTGCTTTGTCAGCACCTTACGTTAGGCAAGTAGCTATTTCTTAGCTTTATAAGCTGCAGCTAGAAATCCCAGGTGACAGTTGGAGTTGTTTATATGTCGAAAAAGCTTTATTTTCTTTTTTTGATGCTCAACTTTCAAAAGTTGCCCCCCTTCAACTACGCTTCGGAAGGAGACGGAGTTATGATGTGTTCACGCTGCAAAAAATGTCCACCTAACCAAGTTTTAGTAGTAGTAGTAGTAGTAGTAGTAGTAGTAGTAGTAGTAGTAGTAGTAGTAGTAGTCTGCAAAAACTGTCCACCTAACCAAGTTTTAAAATCTTAAATC